CCGGGGTTGGCCTTGAAGAGTTAAGCAACATAGCTAAAACCTCAGGATATCCGTGGAAGCCGGTTATCAGGTTACTCAATCAATGGTTTTGCTGTATTGACGCTTAAATGACAAGCCTCAGTATAATATCCGTATCAGGCAGTCAAGCTATAACATGTAATATGCGTAGTATAACATTGCAAACTGTAACGATTACTACGCCGAATTTATTGATGTAACAAAAAAACTGTACTGACGCACAACTTACTCGCTATTGTAGGTTCGGATTTAAGTTTGAATATCAAATATATACATACGTGTGCCTAAAATACGTTAGTGCTCGTTTACCAACTTTGTCGATCACTCGGCACTTGATCTCGAATTGGCAAAAATAGTAAAATCGCTGTTGCATATAAATTCCAAACGGAGGTTTGTAGTCATTGTTGATTTAACAAACCTTAACATATCTACCGGTTAATTTATTTCGACTAGTCTTAGAGCCCGGCCAAGTGCGAGTTTGACTCGCGCATAAATGGTTTCGTGCCATTATATATAATAAACAAATTGGTAAGTACCGATAGGTTGCCTAGCAGTCTCGCGTTTGTTTTTTGGGAGCCCCCTTAAATCATTTTTATTTTATTCTGTTTTTACTATTTATTAGCAGCGGCAACAGAAATAATTCATAGGCGATTTAACTCTCATACCAGAAGAATCGCAAAAGTATAAACTCTACTGCGGGAGACACTTCTTTGAACAAATCGAAACGAGTAATGCCCGGTTCCTATATTCAACGAACGGCCGTTAGTTACATAGCTTCGTAACTTTCATAACAACTTGCATTTCGACGCTCATAATGCATTTCAAAACCGTTACGTACGTAACGTTAATAGTAAGTGACCTGTAGTTTTAAGTTTTATTCCAAATTCTATGCTTTTTCAATCGCCTTCAAATGTGTTTTATAACGTCAAAGCCTGGCCTCCTGACCGTGGTTCCGAAACGGTGTAGCGATCTTTATCTAGTTCAGCTTGCAGAGGCTCACTGTCGTTCTATAAGATGTCTATTATTAGAATCCCACGACACAATAAGCCAGCTTCGCCATGCTCATCATGAATTCAAATAGTTAACGAAATAATTTGATTCAAATGTAACTTAAACGTTTTTGAAATTGCAAACATTATGAATTAGTTATTAGTTAAAGAGATTTTTTTTTTATGTGAAAAGTTGCAACAACGAGCATATGGTTCACCTGATAGTAAGTAAATACCGCCGCCCATGGACGTATGCTACACCCGAGGGTTACGGATGCGTTGACAACCTTTTGAAAATTGGGCTTCGGCTACCTCACTCACCATACGAAACGCGAAGGTATTTGTCATACTTCCACTTTACGCTGGTCTTCTGTGAGGTCGTGGTACTTACCCGGACAGGTCTGCCCATTCGTGCAACAGCCGAGGCTGCTGCGTGGCCACCACCGTACGTATAATATATAATTGATTCAAAAGTTACTTAAGCATTTTTGAAATTGCAAACATTATGAATTCGCAAACTGAATAAGCTTTTTTTTACTTAGTATCAAAATTAATAAGAATTGCTGTAGTAGCTTAGTAGCGGGTGATGGAAAATATTAAACTGCAATATATTCATACGACAGTTTAATCTAATACCAAAGGTTTTTTTCAGTTTTCGGTAAATGTTGGAAATTGAACGCAAATGCATTTTCTAAAATCGTTATGACAACATGTAAGGTATGCAAAAGCATATCAAGGTTGATAATAAAAGTGTATGCATTTGTTATACAACCATGCAATCAATACACATTAGTATTAGCCACGGTAGAAAAGTATGCGATCTTATTTTTTAATACCTTATAGACTCAATCTTGAATACTTTTAAATGAAATATCATACATTTTTACAGTAACATTTTTTTAGTGTTGATAATTTTATTTGGGTTCATCATCCTCCTGCCCTTAAGGTGAACAAACTCCATCGTGCCAGCATCATTCTGATATAGTAAATATCTACAAAGCAGCAATGACTGAAGGCTATTTCCCATCCATTATTTCTTGTTGTACCTATTTCGGCGGAAGAACATTATATCTTGACTCACCGCTTTGGCAGATCAGATATTTCCCATCTTTTCAACCGATTTCAAAAAATGGAGGAGGTTCTCAATTCAAGTTTCCCTAAGTATCACCGGAGCCCAAGATCCAATATGGGACCAGATGCGAAGCACCAGCTTTCAAATAAAAAAAGAATCATCAAAATCGGTTCCCTCAGACGAAAGTTCTGAGGGAACAAACATAAAAAAAAAATACAGTCGAATTGAGAACCTCCTTTATTCAAGTCGGTTGAAAATGGACTTGTATTTGTGTGCATACCACAGATTTAACATGATGGCACACAATACATACAGAAGAACAACAAGACACGACAGGTGATGTCAGAAGTGATAGAAACGTCTAGACATATTTTGTATAGAAAATAGGAGAAAGAAGAAAATTTTAAAGTTTTTTATAGTACTAATCTCTGCACTTAAGATTGAACATTAAAACATGTTGAAAAAGTACGAAAAGATTATCGCCGCTGTGGGAATCGAACCCACGTCTTCGGCAGAGAAGTTTTAATAAAAGAAGAAAACTTAAAGCTGTAATTGCTTACAGGTTTAATAACTTAACAAAACCCTTTATTCGGAGAGCGTCATCAACAGATTCCTCGCCTTAATTCAATGTATACTCGAGCAACCTGAGATCGATCCCCGGTGCCGGCACCAATGAAGTTTTTAACTTTAAGTGCTGAATTATCACGTGCTCCGCGGTGAAGGAAAACATCGTGAGGAAACCTGTATATTTTCGGAATAATAACAAAAAAAAAATGTATTTCGAAAATATGTGAAGTCCGCCAATCCGCAGTGGGGCCGCGTGGTGGACTATGCCCTGATACCCTCTGTATAGAGGAGGCCTTTGCCCAGCAGTGGGACATGTATAGGTTACTTTACTTTTTTTTTTTACTTTTGAAATATGAATACTCCATACGTAATAAACAGTGTTTATTCCTTTATGGATTTGTTCCTAGCATTACATCAGCGTTCTGCTCCCAAACTCTTTCGGAAGCAGCGGTTAAAGCGTGCAGCGGAGTCAGGCAACTGCCTGAAGACGAGTAGACCACAGAAATACCGTCGGCCGTTATCACCTCCGGTGGCTCCGATAGGCAGCTCTTATCGGAGAAAGTAATTTAGCGGCGACGTCACGGCCACGGGCGCGCGACGTGGCGGACGCGTGGGCGCGCCGTGACACGTGACGACACCCTATCTGGTTTCGCTTCACGATTCTCCCCGCGGCGCGACGGTGCCATCTCGATACCACGCCGGGTCATTGGCCTTGGACCCGCGGCTGACTTAGTGGAATGGACCCAAACCCGTGGGTTCTGACTAACCCACCGGTTCTGCGTCAGATGAAGCTTTAATAGACTCGGGACTGAAAGCAAAAACATCAATTAATTCAAGATACAAGATATTGGAATGGAGTTGACAGTCCGTTCCTCCGCTGGAGGATCTTCTGTATCGCTTCTGATTCGCAGCGGATTTCTGATTCAGACCGGCGTGATTTAGCAATCGTTATGGAACTCAACTCGCCTCTTGAATCACCTGTTAATTGTTTACCTCGCCTTGTCTCGTGCCAGTGTTATATTAGCGGTGCTGATAACTCATTGTTAGGAACACCGCTAGCTCCTTTATCCACCTTCCATAATAAAAGCTTAGTTAGTCATCGCCCGATGAGATAGTGTGCCTCCTCGGGCCTATGCTCTACCCATAGTCCCTTACCTGCACTTGCCAGACATCCAAGGCAATGTGCACGACCTTGTCTTGTCTTATTCCCACCAGTCGTGGATGCTTCAAAATATTATTATTTTTTTAAATTAATTATATTTTTCGATGCAAATATCCGGCGGTATTTAATTTCTTAGAAGATCTTTCCAAAGAAAAGGAGAAATTGAAATGAATAACAGAACTGATGTACAAATAAATAGCACTTTGAAGTTTTGCTACTGATGTATTCCAATCAATTACCTTTATTGTATTAATAAAGATATATCCGATTTATTATCGCTATGTTTCATCGAATTCACTTGCTATTTTCTTTATAATAAAGGATACTCCTTCTAGTTCTTATTCAATATAAAGATACTCAGAAGCAATCGTTAAAATATTGAAATTAATGTAGAAACATTAATAAAGCTTAAACATCCTCTTCGGAGCTTATGACTTATATGTTTGTAGAACAAAACGCACCTGGATGGGACTTTCCGATGTATTGGAAGGATGAAGTTATTATTACGAATATGTGTTTTAGTCGAAAGGTCAGTGTAATAACTATAGCAAAAGATACTTACCTATTTAAGACGCAAGGCTGCAAGTTTTTTGTCAAGTCTTCAAAAAAGTAAACTGACGTTCGTAAGTGCGTGAAGCTTAGTTCCAATAAGATTCAATTGAAGAATGATATTTTGACTTTGACTTCTATATTGTGTTATTCCGTCAGCTATTTCGCAAAACACTTTTGTGTTTGACGACCCGATTGGCCTACTGGATGGACCTGTCTCTGCGCCAGTGGGTTTATGGGTTCGATTTATGTCACTAGATAGTTTTGTGATGGAAGTATTATTCTACTAGTTGCTGGGTGTTTACGTATATATTATATGTCTATCTAGCCATTTATTTCCAAAATAAGTATGTTCAAGTATGTTTATCAGTTCTCAAAGTGCTTTGTTTAGTTTGGGCGTGTGAAAATATGTCCGTACTTATTTATTATTAACGATAAAGTCTATTTTCAATTTAATGCTGACATAAAGCCACCTTTTGCGCGTTACATCTGGGGTTTATTTTTTTTATAATAATAATAATACATAGGTATTAGTGCTGTTTGTATAGAAACATATGGGTGTATTAATATCATGTTTACGCCATCAATGGGCTGTTTCCCTCGTCGATGATTCACCAAGGGCGTGCATTGTGAATGCTAGCAGATGATGAATACACACGGTATTGTTTGGATTAATCATTCTTCCCGTCGTCGTGGCTATTTATAATTAACATGCTTGCTATCATTTTGTTTTATTATGATAGAGCATTGTTTTTTCGACATTATATGTCAATATAGTTTTAATAAATATTCAATGTAGTTTTCTAAAATCGTAAATCTCACTGCAGGCCGTCTTTACAGCCACACTATAAAATCGAAAAACGCGTAAGACCCGTTCAACACTTTAAGCTCTGTTAAGGTCATTCAAGAATTCTGTGTTTAAAAGATAATTATATTTTTTTTTATGAGAGAAGTATATAATTTTCTTGCTTTAGTTTGTCTTTTTCCCTAATTCCGATATCAGGCGGCGAGATAAGTGGCGTCGTCGCCATCGACGGGCCTCTTATCAGCGTCGCGGCGCTCGGCGGGCGGCGGGACCGATGCGAACAGTCGCCGTCCGACCTCCGGCGCTCGGACCGCCGTCCGCCACCACCCACCGTCGGACAGTCGGTGCCACCGTCGCGCGAGTGTTCACCACCGGTGCGTGAAGTGCGAGTGACCGCGAACAGAAACGACAGGCTAAGATTCCAATAGACTCTTTATATTCTCTTAAATACATTAACATCTCTCTCGTGCATAACATAACATAGGCTTACGGCTAACGGCTACTTAAGTAGTAGGTTGGACAGTCTTACGCGTACTAGAACTAGGTAACGATCATGAGATCTGGATCACAGTCGAGCGGTGAGGGGCTCATTGCGCGGGGGGCGCGGTGGGCTGGACGGGCAGCGGCGGGCTGGGCAGCAGCTTGAGCAGCGGCGGCGGCACGCGCTCCTTGGCGTGCCTCTTCACGTGCTTGGCCAAGTGGTCGGAGCGCATGAAGCGGCGGCTGCACACGCGGCACCCGAACTTCTTCTCGCCGGTGTGCGTCCTCTTGTGGCGCGAGAGCTCGTCTGAGCGAGAGAAGCGCCGCTCGCAGCCGGGCCACGCGCAGCGGAACGGCCTCTCGCCCGTGTGAGTGCGCGCGTGCGCCTTCAGGTGCGACGACTTGAAGTAGTTCTTGCCGCAGCCGGGGTGCGAGCACTCGTAGAGGCGGCGGCGGGCGGCGGGCGCGGGCGCCACCAGCCACAGGGCGGCGGCGGGCAGCAGGCCGCTCGGCACCAGGACGGCGGGCGGCGGCCGCGGCGCCAGGGGCACCCAGCCGGGTGCCGCCGCCGCTGTGGGCCTGCTTCCCTGCTGCGGCGGCGCGTGCGTCGTCACGCTAACCGAGTGGGGCGCGGCGTGCTGCGTCACGCCGACCGGGTGGGGAGCGGCGTGCGCTGTCACGCTGCCCGGGTGCGGCGCGGGTACCCGAGCCTCCTTCGCCTCGGGCGGGGCCGGCGCCGCGCGCGTCTCCACCGTGGGCGTCTGCGCCTGGCTCGCGATGTATTTTGCTTGCGAGTAGCTGTGGCCGCGGTTCATTTTGAACTTGAGCGTCTTCAGGATGTTCATGTCGGGCGGTGGCGGCGGCAGCGGCTCCGGGCTGCAGGTGCCGTCCTTGTGCGCGCGCATGATCACCGAGGGCCGGCCGCACGGCTCGGGGGGCGGCGTGGTGAGCAGCAGCCGCGCCAGCTCGCACCGGGAGCGCTTGCTGCACTCGTCCTCGCCCTCCGAGTCCGAGGGCTGCGGCGTCACCAGCCCGGCGGGCGGCGACTCGCGCGCTCTCTTCACGGCGGCCTTCTTCAGCGGCAACTCAATCTGCGGGACAAAGAGACGGACGTAAGTGAACGGGCCCTCGAACGGCGGCGGAACACGCGCGCGCTGCGTGATCGCCGCTCGGCCGCGCCGAACGGCGGTGCCAACGCGCAGTTTTCAAATATTATTCTTTCTTTTGTTTCGAAACAATTATGCGGCTCGCGAACAACACTCACTTTGAGGTCCATCAACGGTGGCGTTGACGGCGGCGATAGGGGCCCGCAGACGTCTATTAGTGTGGACATATTGGCTACGATTGTATCATTCAACTGGGCGTGGGGAGAGAAAAACTTTCTTTTTAATCGGGCGAGCGAGGGAACTTGACGTGCGGCGAGCGTTGGCGGTTCGCTCGGACCCGTGTAGCTTCGTCGGCGAGCGGCGGACGAATAAACCGCTTGGCGAGCGTTCGCGGCACGAAGCAGCGGCAGTTGCGGGGGCGGCGGGGCGCAGGGTCGTCCAAATAGCCAATGGGAGCGGGCAGCGCGGCGGCGCGGCAAGATGGCGGCCAATGGCGGCGGGGCGATCACGCAGCGCGCGCGTGCCGGCGCGTGTCGTTCACGTGCACACGGTGTGGCGGGCGAGGTCGCGGCGTGACGTCACCGGCGCGCCCCCGCATGACGTCGGGGCGCGCGGCAAGGTCGGCCGCGCTGTCACACGCCGCCGCCGCCGCTGCGCCTGCAACGGCCGCCTGCAATTTCGACAGGTGTCAACGACCCCGCAAGCAATGGCCGCCCAAGAGGACATAGCGCGCTTTCGAACTGGCTGGCCCCTCACGAGTTACGCCGACGAATATCCCAGTAGGGCAATCCTTAACAATCATTATAATGGCTCCTGTAGAAGCGATTGCCATTGTTTGATGACGACCTGTGTTATCAATGGACGCACCGTTTGTTTATGTATTACGTTATCTGCAAATAAACATCGCCGAGCATCTGCTAAAATCATCATCGTGAGATCGCCGTATTGCGAAACGTAAATAAAGCCAGTAGTCGAGCGGTTTCTTCAGTTTCCCACGGTTCGCTATCTAGCGTTATCAGCGGGGTTAGAATAGATAGTGAGGGCTTTTGCTGGAGCCAATGCTATCACACTGAAATGTCATGAAACGGAAATCGATGCTATGTTGCTCGGGTAGCTGTCCACCTCTGTCGAGGCGTGGCATTCAAAATGCCTTGTTTGGCGTAACACAAGTTACACGTGCGCGCCTTGAAAATATCACAATACGGCTTCTACTCGAAAACTCTAAGGCCGTATAAAAAATTAAAGTTAACCGGTCGAACCAGTGGAATGCAATAAATGCTACATCGAATCACAACAAATACATTGCAAATACATTGCTATTATTAAAGACAAGCGAGTCATATCAAACACCTTACAGCGCGTATTTTTCTTTAGTGAACAAAGCTCATTAGGATTATCGACAAATACCGAAATTAAATTATATCAAAGAAAATATCGAAAGATCGTATAGATACGACCATTGCCCCATCGCCAACACGACTCATAAGTGGGGTTTATTTTAATTTTTTTGGTCAGCATAACAACTATTGTGCAAGTAGTCCAGAATCTCTGTCGTTTCTCTCTCTTTCGCGCGCCCCCAATGTTGGCGCGAAAACCTTGCGACGTAAACAACGCCGCGGCCGCAGTAGGGCTGTCCGAAACAAACACGGAGCGGCGAAACCCGTTAAGCGACGCGCTAGTACGTAGCGGGGCATAGCGTGAAAGTGAGCGAAGCATCACGCGTACGCCGAGTGATCGCACGGCGCGAGCGATAAGCGATGCGCGGTACAACTACCATGGTAACCTATAAAACGTTGCAGAATGAATGCACGCCAATTTCTAAAGGCTTAAAGATACTTATAATAACGCACGTTTATACAGCCACACCATCGCCGAGAAAGGTACACTGATACTATTTACTAGACTATCCGCTTAATATTTAAAGTCGTATACGTCCGAGTTTTGGAATATTTTAAAGAAAACATTTGAGTACAAGTTGTAAGATTGAAGGTACGTTCTCAACCTCTAAATGGTACCCATAAATAACGAGAGGGTGGGTTAGGGCCAGATTTAGAGGTCTGGAGGCCTCGGGGCAACAAATGAGTGGAGGCCCCTTGGCCCCAAATTATTTTCTATTGATTTCTGTTAATATTTAATGTAATCATGTCTGTACAAAGTACTGTAGGTAAAAGTAAAACGCGAAAAAAAATATGAAAGGAAAAATTGTTTACTATTGTTTGTCTGAATTTGAAATTTTTTTTCCGGAGTGTCTATTGTGGGGGCTCCTCGTTTGTGGAGGGCCCGGGGCTGTTGTCCCGGTTGCCCTCCCCTAAAGTTTAGTTACATAAATTTGCAGACGAATGAAAAAGTGTAAATATTCTACGTTTAAATTAATATTTATAAATATTCTGAGAGATGGTGTTTTTTCCTTGGCAATTATTCTGTATAAGTTAATATGTGACTCTACCACATTAAACATTTTGCCATTGCAGTTTTAACACTATCTTTACTTTCATTTAGTAAGAGCAGTTTTCTTTATCTTATTTGATAAGGCTTAGGTTAAGGCGTGTTATCTTTTCTGAAGAGGGTTTCATAAAATATGTGTATAAAGCCTTCGATACAAAAATTTGTCGAGCTTACGATTTAATTGATCTTGAAATCTCAAATTTACCGAACTAGGGCTTACACGTATTTTTTTGTTTGTTAAAGTTATTTTCATTTGTTTTATATTTCAGTTATGATTTTATGTTCTACTGTATTATTAAAATTTTTTTTTTCTTTTATTTTTTGTTAAATTTTCGTTTTTTTTTCTCTTTTGTCGTATGCGTCGTATTTTTTTGGTAAATAAATGTATTTTCTTTCTTTCTTTCACTAATGTTATTGATTCATTTCTGTTTAATTGCTAAACCGTATTTAATATAAGACCAAAATAAAAATTTTACTGTTACCCTTCGACGAACCTAAAACGAATCCTGTATAGTATTTGAAAATTGTGAGTCAGGTATATATCGAGCACCCTGCTCGATATAGGACTTGCAGATTATAGCTGCTGCTTAAATCTGCGTTTTGTGAGTGGCAAATAAACAATAATATGTGTGTTTGCAAAACTTTCATATACAAAAACTTTAGTTAAAAAATAGAGTAACATATTAGTGACAGTTTTACAAATCAAAACACAACACTGGAAACGGAAGTTATCTTATCACTTGTACCACAGCGTTGCCCTCGCGTACGTCCGTACAGACGTGCAAGTGTAAAAGTGTGCGTTGGGAAACAACGCGCGCGGTGACGTGTCCGCCGCCCGGCGATAACATGGATCTGACTCATTATTGACTAATCGCCTCTAGTCTAGCCGTTTCTTATTAGTTTCAGCGCTTTTCGGAAGCGTAAGGATTCGTTTCCACTTTAATTTAGCGACTTCCAGTCGTTCCAATTAGCGAGCGGCGCATTAAAAAAAACATTTTTGAGAGCTCCTCCGCCATATTTGTTTCCTTCTGTTTTGGCGCGCTCATTTCATTTCTTCTTATTTTGTTATTCAGCAAATTACGGAGGGGCCTTTTGGGGAAGAATGAATACATTTCTGTGTTTGTTATTGGTTAGATATAGAAATATTACTAAATTGTTGTATCATCATTAAATATAGCTCATTAAAGATCACTTCGTCACTTGTCTCACGATTCACAATACGCTTTATTATAACAAATAATGTTTATCAATAGAAGCGTTTTCTCGTAAATTCATGATAAATCTATGGTTTATGTGATTTGTTCTCTGTAATGAATGAGTAATGCCTACCAGTTATTTCATATTATGTATCGCTACAGTGTTTAATAAAATTGTGGTTCAACCTCCAAGTCTCTTATCTCCGAAAACTGATTTTATAAGTTAATTATTTTTATAGCCGTTATTTCCATGTTCACTTTTACCTAATACGTGGTAATATTATTGAGGCTATGCAGTTCAGAAGTATTACTGGATATAATAGATGGATCGAATGCTGTTTAACATCGCATTTGCATTAGATTGCTAAGATGTTGAGTGCCTACACTATGAACAAAACAAGCCTCTAATGTCAAATAAAATTTTGTATATTGATTTTTAGTATAAACTTTTAGCTTAAGTAGCATTATTACAACAAGTATATGTTGCAAGCGATCGAGAAATCGCAACGTGTAAAAATTGTTTCCTTACAATTCCAGATCCAATTTGTCGGGTCACGAAAATGGTACTCATGCTTTGGAACGTAAGTCCAAAGTTCAATGGAGAAAGCCGCGCTTACATACAGATTACTTTGAGTTTGTTGCCGCCATAAAATTTCGTTTGCAAGTTATTTATCAAAAATCACACTGAAGAGTTGGAGATGCTTTCCCACCTTTTTATAAGGTTTTCCCCATTCACCTAATTTACCAGTTGCAACGCAAAAATGTAACACTTCCACTTTATGCCGGTCTTCTGTGACCTCGCGGTCTTTCACCGGACGGCCCTGCCCATTATTGCAAACAGAAGACTGTAGACTGAAGACTGTGAGTAGGAGACTAAGAATTACCTATGTGGAGTTCGGTGACTAATAATGAAATATTTGTATCTGTAACAAATCTTTAGTTACCGCAATTACAATCCATTTAATTTACAAACGCAATGTGATGAAACGACAGATGTTATTGATTTTCCGCATTCATTGGTTTATTATAGCAAATTAATAAATATATGATAAAACTCATACAATTACAAATTTTCCTTCATGCAAGTCAACAAAAAACATTTAACAAATTGTTGATAGATATTGAATTGGAAAATGGTTTGTGTGAAACACATAAAATAAACATCAGTGTCATTATTTGTATAACATTAGTTGAATGTATTGAAAAAAAAATCCTGATTCTGATTCTGAAAACTTTGTGCAATCGTATGTGTTATTGTCTTATTTATTGATCCTTTTAATTATTTAAAAGTTGTATAAAAAGTGGGTGGAGGGACATGTCGCTCCAGGTTCCTACTCCCGAAGAGAGGAGGCATGGGAAGATTCATCGTGTTCCCGTATTCCCAGCAGATGTAACAGATAAAGGTGCAACTTGGATGTTTATTCCCTGTTTTAACCAGCACTCCATATTCCGCTCCGGAAACACAAAGGTTAATCCTTTGTAGTAGAATCCCGTAGTAAAAAAAAGTGGAGCGAAAAGAAAATAATTTTTAAGGTGTAAAGAGCTGCGAGTTGGCGTGATGTGGCAACCCTATTCGGGCGGCCATACTGAATCGCCGGCGCACCCGTCGCCTGGCGCGTTCGTTTGCGTGTGCACATGAACGTTGCATGTGTGCACGTGCGTGTAGGTGTGGCGTTGCGCCGGTCAGGGCCCCCCGATGGGCACGCGAGCCACGCGTGACGGCGTATCGCGTATGCCCCGTTTTAAAAATTCGCCTCTACCTGTCTCCTGTGTATGCTGTATTCTTTTTAGAACGTCGAATTGCACTTTGGAAGTGTTGTGTAATAAGGTGGCTTACTTTAGCGGTACTTGCATGGTACAGTATCAATATATCGACATGTGTAATGAAAGGTATTACTTTTAAAACATCAGCTGCATACTTTAGAAAGAAGGAAATAGTAATTAAAAGAAGAAATTTTAATTTACATATACTTATATGAATAATTTTATGTAATAATTTATATTTCTTATGAATTTAATTGTTAGAAGTTTTCTTTCTGTTCAGTTATAAGTTATTAGGAAGAGGGACACTTCAGAGTTTATAA